ACCAAACACAGGCTTTTGTGACAGCAGATTAACATGAATTCATAAACAAAGATACAAATATATACACAGTATATATAATGACCGCATGTTAACAATAATGGTTAACAGGTAGCGGCTGGACGTACAGCCATATTAGAGTGTATTGACGTGGGGTCTTTTTGTTACACACTTTTTAATGAACTTAATGAACTCCCACACAGAGCAGGATACAAGCTCAAAGTGCTCCCATGGTAACTTGTTTCTAAATTTCGTTGTGCATCCCTGTGTTGCATAATGACGATAAATGATCCTTGAATACATACGTCACTTATCCAGATGGCGCATTCTAACTTTGCTCGCTGAACAATTTACAAACAGCAGATGGATTTATTAGTAGCTTAGTTTATGAATTCATGTTAATCTGCTGTCACAAAAGCCTGTGTTTGGTGCGACTGCAGTCCAGTTGGTGTCCTTAGAAACCTCCTGCTGGTTTGCCAAGAAGAAGAAAAAGAAGAGAGTGTTGAAGAGAGGTTGTGAGAGGTACATAATTTGTCTTTAGACAAATATAAAAAAAGCCAAATGGTGTTGAACTCATGGCAAACCAAGTGGAATGGAGTGTGGATCTGGATGTGTGCATGCGCAGAACGCAGATGGATGCAGACCCTCAATTGTAGCATAAATGGAACTGCCTCAGTCCTTAGCTGAATGTTGGTGATATTTCAGTGTGATGACCCTGAGCTCTGCTGTGTCTTATGTCTATGTGTTCTACCTGTACACAGTCCAGCTTGTTGCGCGGGGCCGTTTTCCTTCACGCTCTTCACAAAGATGGTGTCCATTGGCTCCAAACGAGACCGCTGGCCACCTGCTCCACAAAAACAAACATGCAGATACAGATTTCCTAAAATATCAGCAAAACCCACAAAGTTGATTCAGCTCCACCTACACATGGAAACATACAGCCCCCCCACAAACACACACATCCTGATCATTCGCGCATTATAAAACAGACCACAATAGATACAACAGATTCGAATGAGTCCAGAAGGCATTTAGAGACACTTTAAGAAAGTGTGATGCTGATTCATCAGAGCTGGATGCCTAACCATTGGCTGATGAAGCCAGCAGAAACACTCACCTCTTCCAGTTGCGTTCCCGTTCTCTTCATCCTGTGGGACACACAGAGCAGGTGTTAGAGGGGAGGAGGACCACAGCGAGGAGCCGCTCAGCTCACATTCAACCCGAGCCTTTACTCCCAGCCCAGGTCTGACTCACTCCAGCTGACTGGGCTTTGGATGGCTGCTCAGCTGCCTGACTGACTGATTCACAATCTGACTGAGTGTCTGACTGTCTCACTGAAAGACATATGGACTGTCTGTCTGTCTGGCAGGCCCGGTGGCTGGGTCTATCTGGAGGCTTTGGTGCTTCGCTGAGTTAGCTCATTCCTGACACACAAAGGGCTCTGCACACAGACTGAGGTATGCTGCTGCACAACACCGACCTCTCTCCAGGACAGAAGGACGATACCATGCTGTCTTCAGTACCACGGTACCCATGAGTGTGTGTAGATGTATAGACTGGAGCCCAGTAGAAAAATGTTTGTTAATAGATTCTTCCAGGCATGAATCTGGGAAACATATTGCAATATTCAATTAGGTTACAGGTAAGATGGATATACATGAAATTGAAACCCTGAATTCCATGTCTGTGAGTTAAGTATTGAGCTAGAGCCGGGAGAAATGAATTTAGCATAAAGTCACATATTTATCTGAGGCAGCGTCGGAAATACACGAGGGCAAAGGGCAAAAAATGCCCCCGAACTTTCTAAACGAATAAATAAATGTGCGCTTCTTCATCAGACCTGTGACTGCGGTCAACTCAGCAGACACTTAAATTTTAGTGCACCTATATGTTGAAATTCACGGTAAACTCATTCAAAAGGCACAGATCGGGAGCGAGCGAAGGACTTTGAAAGTTAACGGAAAGATTAACGTGAGACAACATCCGGTTTCTTCAGATGAACATCCGGTTTTCAGAATAAGATGCCAACAAAGTACACATTGCATAATGGAAATTAGATTAAATGAATTATATTCACATTAAGTATAAAACATGCTACCTGCATCTTGCGAGTTAAAGGGGAAATACACCTAAATTCTGCGTAAAGTGTCTTTATTCTTTGATTTGAGGGTTGCTAATGAATAATACCTGACTGACAGTCAATTAAGATATTTTACTAAGCAAAAACTCTGAACTGAATTTGTACCTTCAAATGGCACATTTTTTTAATTTTTAAGGTGCTATAAAAATGTTTTTCTCAAAAATTCCACACAATGACTGATGTATATGTAATCAAGGCATCGTTGACTTAATAATTGTTAACAGTTGTTTAAACAATTTAATAATAACAATAAATAACCACAAAGAAATAAGAATAGAATTGAATATGATTGTCTGATTTATGTTTTCTGTTTGTTTTTTGTTAAGAAAATCTAAGAAAACACTTTGAATCTGTAGACTACTGCCTAATAGTCTTATTATTGCCATTTGATGACAATTGCTCATATATTGTAAGCCTAAATAAGTATATTTATTATTTTGAACAAAGGTTAAATGTTATTTCACAAGTTTCAAGAAGTGCCCCCAATTTTTTGAAAATGCCCCTGGATTTCAGTCAGTGGGGGCAAAAATTGCCCCAAACAAATATGTAAATTTCCTACCCTGATCTGAGGTTATGTCAGTTTAAGAAGCATAACTGCTGCTAATATAGACTAAACACAAAGTGCAGCTGAGGCTGATGGGAGTCGGGTCAAAAGGTCACCAAAGGCATTAAGAATCATCCTCTTGATTGTCTGTACAAAATTTGCGATTTGTCTAATATTTGCCAAGATATTTCAGTCTAGACCAAAGTGGACCAACGTACAGTGCCATGCATAGAGCTACATTCATACAGCTGAAAGGCTGGTGACCAAGTTCTAAGTCTCACAATTCAACTGACAATTCAACATTTATTTTGAAAAGCGACCCATTTCCAATATTAGTTTAAGCAGATCTCCATGGTGAAAGAATATTTAATAAGACTAGCTCAACCTTATACTATTGTTGGAATGGTAGTGTACTCTCAAATACTAATTACATGTTTTTACTTAATCTGGCTACTGGCTGCTTGAGCCACTAGCTGTGTTTCCATTAAATCATCAAGCAACTTTTGAAATGTCATAAAAAAAGAAATGCTAATTACATCTGTTTCCATCGACTGGTTTAGAGCGAATAAACTCTGCTACAGTGTAGTTTGGTCAGAAGTTGGTGCTATAGGTTACAGAAGTAGAGGTTGCAAACCAGAAACAAAACAAGTGGCTGTGGCCGTCTAACCCATGTACAATAAAAAGGTGGAGAGAAGTGTTCAGGAATGTGTTTCAATTGAGCAAGTTTGAATTGTTCTTTAATGTCAGCTAACATTGCCCATGTCTGGGAACCAAGACAGCAGAAACAGCATGTGAGTTAAATGTTTACTATGTCGGAACTCAGCAAAGTTACTTCAATAATCCAATCAGCACATCAACTCTTTTTCATTAAAGACTTCTATGTACACATTTGGGTCCAGGCCAGAGACACCATAGAAAAGTATGCTAACCTTGAGGCTGTGGAGGGAGGACTCTGGTGGGTATACGATGAAGTGGCGCAGAGTGAAGCCGAATCCCTGTGAGTTCTTCGGGACGAAAATGGTCCGTGGGCCCTGCCACGACACGCCCTCCACCTCGCCAGACGACAGCGGCCGGCGCCTGTTCTCATTGGACGACACCATGCCATCTCTCCGTCCTTTAGCCTGTTGAGAAGAGAGGATGGGGGAAATGTTTAGATCGATAACGCTGAGCTTTTCTCTCGGTAGCTGAGGAACACTGACAAAACTTTACCATGGGAATCCTAAAGTGGGGCTGTGCACCCCTCCATTGTTGAATGCATTTAAGGGAGGAGTGAGCGGGAGGATGTGGCTCTATGTGCTCCATTCACTGAGGACTCTGCCCAGATCGGACCAGGGCACAATTACACCTATGCCAGGAATTTCTCAGAGACTTCCTCTCTCTAAAGAGGAAGCTCTATTTTCAACAACAACCCCACCTATAATCATATTTATTACCTCCAGCCCACAATGGGAGAGTTAAAAATATATACCGTCTATTAATAACAGTCGTGGAACAACAGGAAATTATTGGGGCTCATAAACACAGATCTGGAAGCACAGACCAGAGGACCAGTAGACAAAAGGAGCCCGCTGATATTTCGGTATGGGCTCCAGGAGGTGAGAATGAGGCCAGTGTTTCTCACACACTCACTCACACACACACACACACACACACACACACACACACACACACACACCACACACGCACACACACACACACACACACACACACACACACACACAGTGGATTGTTCAACACTGAGCATAATTGTTGCCAATCCACATGAATGCTGAACCTCGTCAAAGGGATATAATGTAGCTCAAGCTGCTTAGAAATTATAGTTATGGTCGTAAAAGCATTGATCATAGAGTGGGGCAATTCAATTAAAAATAATATTCAACAACACTAAAAGCACACACATTCATTGTACATGAAATCAACTTAAACCCGACGCAGCCAAAAACAACAGGAAGTCTGTTTCTTGAGACAGGAAGTGGATGGCCGTGATTTGGGGAAATCCTTCGCCTCTAAGAATGCGTCCACGGAGAGCAGGAAAGAGACGCACACTTTCCACAGAGGGAGGCCAATCAGTTTAGATTAGAGGGGAATCCCACCTGGATTAACAGTTCCAATCTGTTGAGTCCATGGCCGAGGAAAGTTCAATCCGTATTTGTGTTTCTCTCAAAGCTGGAAACCAGAGAAGGAAGTCTCCAACAGGTATAAAATGTGTAGCTGCTCCATAGGAAATGAAGTCAATGGGTTATTATAAATGTGGTTTTGGTTAGATGCCTGAAATAAGGTCTGTGTTTAACACAAGCTGAAGAGGTTTCCACGTTTTGCTTTACGGCACAAAATACGTCACTAAATATCACACTTGGGAACTTTGAAGCTTTTATGTGTCTTTAAAAAAAAGTGGATTAATGAGACTGCAGAGGGACAATAACTAGCGATTGCATTCACGCTTCAAAAATTATACAAGTGGTGTTCATTTGTGAAGATTGTCTTGTTGAACAAAATGCGTACGTATCATTTGCCCCAGAGCATATTTTCTGCAATAATCCATAATCCAATGGGAAAAATACTATTCTGGTCGAGGGAACCAGTGCGTTGCTAAATTCCTGTTGGCCTACAAAAATACATTAACCATGCAGCACTATTTATTGTGTATGAACCAGAATTTATACTTGATGACATCACAAATTTGAGTTTTAGTCTTAGATCATTGGAATATCATATCTGAATTCTGAAAGAGGGCATAGTTCCCTTTAAATATATTTACATTACATCGTCTACAAGTAACATTAATTAATATGAAATGTTATCAAATCACTGACAAGCCGTCTTAGTTGATGGTTTTGGCTTTCTTTCTAACCAGACCTCGTCTGAATATCAGAGGATGGACAGAATCCGTTGGTTGATTTGTAGTTGAATCATAGACTGTATATAAGAAATGGACTTAGTCATCGTGACGTCACCCATTTGTGGACTGATGTTATAAAGCCTCGAGTTCGGCAATCTTGAATTACAGCCGTCGCCATGTTGGTTTTTTTGCAGCCAATGAACAGAAGTTACTATGTTTGGAATGTGGAGGAGTGAAGTAGATGTCGTATATGGCTCTGATAGAGGCAGCGACCTGTCAATCACAGTAAGCCCCGCCCTAAAACATACTCCTCTTTATGGTCTATTTGACTCTAAATGGACCATAATTTGAACATCATGCTGTATTGAAGAAGAGTTGAAACTTGAGATTGAGACCATAAACACATGTTCACTGAGGAAATAAATCAAGAGAGAAGTAGAGTCATTTTCTCATAGACTTCTATACAATAGGACTTCTGTTTGCAACCGGAGGACTTGCATTCTCTTGCAAGTCCATTCTCTGCTGGCCAGTAGAGAGAATGCAAGTTTTAAGACACTTCTGCATCAACTTGAGAATGCCGCCTGAGCTGAATATAAACCTTTTTTTGAAAGTTTTTAAAGGACCCACTCTTACAGCATTACATAACATATAGCATCCAAACAGAATGAAATAACCTCAGAGGATTCCTGCCCACTGACATTTCTCTGTGAGTTTGTGTGGCTGTGTTGGAGAGTTGTGGCGTGTGAAGGCCCCAGAGCATGAAGTCGTCATATCTGTGTGCGTGTGAGACAGTTGGGTACATTGTTGTGTTTGATTCCTCATCATCCGACATCTCTGCAGGTGGCATTTCACACATGGGTGAATGTAAACGCAGAGGTGAGATGCCGTACATTACCTCTCTCTCTCACTGGCACAAACTCGCCCACCCACTCAGTGTGAAATGCCGTCATGCCAGAGTGTGTTTTACAGAACGCTCGTGATTTGTTTTGTCAGCTCTCTCTGTGGCTTTCACAGAACTAACATCATCCTTATCTGAGTCCCCTCAATTCCTTATGCTGTTGCTTGGTTCATAGCATATGTTTCGTTTTTTTACTTTTGTTATTGAAAGAGACGGAACAGAACGTATCAAAAGTTAAGTAATGTGTGGTGTACATTCAGGAGAAGAAGACAACATAACAAACAATGCATAACAAACAGAAACTGTCCTGCTGTGCGTTTAGATATGTTAGTTGTATTAGCCCCGTTAGCTGTTGTAGCTCTGGTAGCATAAACACACCGCAGGGCAGCTAGGCTGACTAGCTCGCCTCCTAGAAAACATACGTAGACGTGCTCCGTTGAAGCCAGTGCTCGGTTCAGTTTGTCATTTGCTAAGCAATAGTTATACGTACAGACAATTCCTAATCAGTAGCGGAAGCAACAGTCCAATCTGAAAAATATGTATTGAGATGTGTATATGAGAATGTTGGTCACACTGGTATTGTGGATGAAATTCATTAGATGGTACAAACGGTAACCGCCACTCTCTAGCTTTTTATTAACGTAACTCATTCATAAAAGAAAATTAAACATAATATTGTTGAATGTATTTCTGCCTCTTAAGAGTCCTTACCTGATCCCAAACACTCGGCCTGATTGTGCAGCTCTTGTAGGGACAAGGACAACAAGGGCCTGTTGTGCTGACTCAAATATAGCTCTTCATTAACATTGGCCACTAGCTCAATTTACTCTTCTGGTCTGCTGCACCAGTCGCTTCAATTTGCTCACTTGGATTCGGTAATTTGAATCGCAGACTGTGTATTTTGTCGGGTGTTGAAATTATTTTGTTCATCTGACATTCAGACCACAGCTGAGACGAGCTGAACTGAGAGACGATGCAAAAAAATGACACGCATCCACCCTGCAGATCAGATAACACAAACTGACACTGAGACGCACACACACACACACACAGTGTATACGATGAGCTGGATTACTAAAATAGTCCCTCTACAAGTAGTGCATTGGGAAACTGTATGATCCTCGATGCATACTTGAACAGATGATGTAAAAGCCCAACCACACACACACTCACGTATGAATACACCCACAATATTTTCATCTACAGCTACATGTGCGTAGTGAGGACATCAACAGGCCCCCTCAGAGCTACATTACGTAACACCTTAAGGAGGCATGGAGATATGGCATGACACACACCCTCGAATGAATCAAAACCCCCACATGCCGAACCGTCCTCCAGACTGTACATGATGACGGGCTGGTGATAGCCGTTCTGTTCCGAGTCCACTGCAGCCCTGTATCCTGACACAGGTTCAAGTCACCTCGAATGTTGATAGCAATGACATCAACTTTGGCCCCCCTATGATAAAACCGCAAGGTGGGTATGGTCAATAATGGTCCTTCCCTTCCACTGATTAGAGCAGACAGGAGAGGGTAAAGCAAGATGGCGGAAGAAGAATCCCAGTGGAAACACAAGAGCTCGTCCAGTATACTGGACTTATGCCACAGCTCAGCACCAAACAGCAGACAAAGTTAGCAAGTAGCTCGCTGGTGAACGTAGTGTAACATTCAGCAGCTAAGGAGCCAGATATTTTACTCAGGAGGTGGTGGAGACCCAAAACAGAGCTAAAAGGAGAATGAATATTGGACTTAATTGATTCAAGTTGCCAGAAACACGTCGTTAGATTTGTAAAAAGACAATTCAATTCATTTGTATAGCCCTAAATCACAACATTACCTCAGAGGGCCTTACAATCTGTACAGCATACGACATCCTCCATCCTTGGACCCTCCCATCGCCAAAGAAAAAACTCCGCCCAATATGGCCAAAACTTGAAAACTTTATAAGGCCACAATATATCAAATGTGTATGTAATATTCAGCTTGTTGTGTCCTCCCCTCTTACCCAGGACAAGCGGTGGCAGTGTATGACCCTCCGGGAGCCCCGTCTTCTTGGTGATGCGATGGGGGTTGGGCGGGGTGAGCTGTGAGGCGAAACACCCCTCAAAACCGCCAGCCAGATACAGCGGGGTTCGGCATCGCTACAGTCCACGCCGACGGAACACTGAAATCGCCACTCGTGGCCCGACGGAGCTGGTGCGACACCCGACACCCTCAGCATAGCACCGCCACATTCACACGCACATGTACCGTCTCGGCAGCCAACGCACGTCAATTCACGCCCACCGGGGGTCACGGAGCTTCAGACCCCACAAGGATGATATCCGGTCACCTCAGCACGGTCTCTGATGGAAGCGTCATGGCCGGAGGCGACGATCGAGGGTAAACCGATGGAAAACACACTTTCACACATGAAGTCAACTACTAAAGTGTCGCGATCAGCACCGGGGATGGAGAGCACCAAGTCTTGAATGTGTAATCCTTGAGTTGCTTTCATCTTGAGCTTCATGACGACTCATCCGAATGTGTTTCATGAATGTAAAAAATAAGTGGTCAAGACTTCATTTGTCATATTTTATACAATTTTCTACCATGTTGTCTCGAGCTGGTCCTCTTTTTTTTTTTTCACCAATCTGGGTCCTTGTTTTTGAAATATAATGCCGTTTTTTTATGTGACCGAAACAGACAACATCTTCCCGTCTTCTTTCACCTTTCATTTAGTCCGGTTCACAGTTATAGGTGACAAATTAGGCTTTAATGGAGCCCTGACATTTTTGACATGAAACTGCATCTGAAGCAGCACTGGTCCCGCTGTAACCACGGCGCCAGGCATTGGCCGACAGCTCTCTCAAATGTCAACTAGTCCTCTCCAATGCTTTCAGAGCAGAATTGTCCCGATGTCAGAAAGAGTGCACTTGTTTCACTGAAGTAGCGGTTAGTTGCTGCTGTGCGATCCGGCTTAGATTTAGTGCTCGACTCTGGATTTCGGAAGCGGATCCATCCCCAGACCGGTTGGATTCTGTTGCTGGACCAGTTGAGCTGAGAAGGCAGTTTGTTGTCGGACCAGATCTTTAGAATTGGATACAATCCCAAGTTGCTGCTAGGAGGTCCAGCGTGTCCCCCTGCATGCTCTGTAGTACAGCGCTGGCTGTGGCTGACTATCTTTATTGCTGCCTAAGTATAGTCCTCCCTCCTCTCAACCCTGACATGCCTCCCTGCCTCTCTCTCTCCCTTGGGTGTATTTGCTGACATCCCCGCACTCTCTCCCTTTCTCTCTCAGTCACATTCCTCTCATCCTTTTTGCTCCACCCCGATGGAAGAGCAGCGAGCAATGCTCTCTCTCCCTGTCTCTCCCCCTCTCTCTCTCTCTCTCTCTCTCTCTGCTGGGTCTCCCTGTCGCCTCCCTTTAGTCTCACAACCTGCTGGTTGATGGTGCTGTTGGTATCCAGGGTGCACTACCAACTGTGTGTGTTAAAACGGTTATTTGATTAATCGATTAGTAGATCGACAAAGCATTAATCAACAATAAATAATCAAATTAAACTACTTTTCAATTTTTAATATACAGGGGATGTATTTGGTTGCAATTTAACAATTTCCCCCATTAAATTATTTCTGATTCTGAAGATGCCATCGTTAGGATGAGCATGTTTTTCTGTTCACTTAGTAAAGTGCAACACCAGTGCATTCATGTAGCGGAAGTGAAGATTGTTTTGTAGATGACGTTTTGTTTGTTTTTAACATTGGGACAGTACTGTGGAACTGCCTTCCATTAAACATGAGGTTGACAAAAACAAGAGATCAGGTCAGAGCTTACTCATGGAAGAAAGGGTCATTAATGATTTATTATTTTGTGCAATTTTGGTTTTCATTTTATGGTTATAAATATATCTATATATAAATATATATCTATGTATATATAAATATATATATTAGGTGTGGGAGAAAAAATGATTCTTAGATGTATATAAATACATATATATTATCTTAGATATATACATATATCTAAGACAATATATATGTATATATATATGCATGTATATATACATATGTATGTATGTATATATATACATACAAGTCAAATCAAATTTCTGACATTTGTGGATCCATCAATTAAAATAATTAATGGTTTAAATGAAAAAACATTTTGTCATATGCCTGTGCATTATATACATTGCTGTAGATATATTAGGAGTTTAGCCTAGCTTAGCAGAAAGACTGGAGGCAGTCTTTCTACTAAGCTATGACTACTAACACCTCTAAAGCTCCCCAATGAATGGGTTAAACAAGAAAGCTACAATGTGTTAGTTAATTGGTGTGCGTTAGAAGTGTTGTAAACATATCTCTGAACTTTGGAAGGAGCCAAGCTAGCAGGTCCCAGTGTTTAGCTTTGTCTGAAACTAGTCCCGACGTGTTATCTTCTATATCACGAAGGTAGCTTTGAAGATGAGCCACACTGTAGCATCCAAACTATAGACTGTATAAAAGAAGTGGACGTAGCCGTCGTGGTGTCACTCATTGTTTTTTATATTGAAGCCTCGGGTCCGGCATTAGTGCCGGCGCCATCTTGGTTTTTTTGCAACCAGTGAATGGAAGTGACCCTATTTGTACTGTTGAGGAGTGACATAGAGACGGCGTATACGGCTCTGATAGAGACCTGTCAATCACTGTGTAGCCCCGCCCTCAAGCATACCCTGCTTTATGGTCTATTTGACTCTAAATGGACCATAATTTACTAAATGAACATCATGCTGTATTGAAGAAGACTTGAAACTAGAGATTGAGACCATAAACTCATGTTCACAATGTTTACTGAGGTAATAAATCAAGAGAGAAGTAGAGTCATTTTCTCATAGACATACAACCAGAGGAGTCGCCCCCTGATGGCCATTAGAGAGAATGCAAGTTTAAGGCACTTCTGTATTGGCTTCACTTTTTAGGACCGGAGGTTGCCGACTTGATTGTAACAGTGAATGAAGACATATCCGTCTTTACCGGAAGTACCGGACTTTGTTGGCATTAAAAAGGCGACAAGTTTGCAGGTATGTTAACGCACAGACACAAGATTGATCTTCTCAACTCTCTCTAGAGCAGCGGTTCCCAAACTTTTTAGGCCACGCATCCCCTTCTACATCCCGACCAGGTTCACGCACCCCCAATCCCCCACACCTTAAAAAAAAAAAAAGCAACAGAGCCTATTTATAGCCGCATAAAAATCGGACCCAACACATGAATGAGACTGTAGTTGTTTTGGGCTGTTTTGTAACTCCTCCAATTTCGATGTAAAAAATGTAAGGGGCTTTTGACTTGCACTGGCATGCTTGGTGTTCAGGTGGCTACGTAAATAAGAGGGCTTCAGACAGCTGTTAGCCAGAACCTCGCTGCACCGACTGGACTGCACCATTAGACCACCATTACATTTTTCCTCTCACGCACCCCCTAGAGGCAGCTCGCGCACCACACTTTGGGAATCCCTGCTCTAGAGGAAGTGCATTTACCAAATTGTTAAACTGTTCTTTTAATCAAGTAGTCATATGTGTGTATAAGTGTATAATAATTGTGATTAAGTGTAAATGTGTCTGTGTATTTGTGTGTTTGTCTGGTTCTAAGTATGCCTGAGAGAGCAAAATAAATATTACAACCAAACTGTCAGCTAGCATTAAGTATTTGTTTCTTGAATAACCCTAAATGTGAACCCAGACTGTGTATGTGTGTGTACGTGACCAAACCCTCCATAACAAATCTAGACCTGTCAGCCCCTCAGTACTCTCTTCATTGATACCTGAGAGCAGCTAAAACATCAGACAGGCAGAGAAGGAAAGACTGACGATAAAGAGGGAGAAGTGGGATGCAGAGACGCTAAAAGAGACTGACGTCCATACAAACATCATCCAAGCAGCCTCTGCAACTCTCATTGCCTATCTTCCACTGGCCTTTGCTTTCCTTCTTTTCTTATTTCTCCCGTCCAGCACTTTATCTTCCACCTCTCTCCAAACACCCTCATTCTTTGCTTTACATGCTTAACCTTATATGCAAAGCAGAACCTACACAGCCCGAAACTGAGAGTATTATTCTGGCATTACTGTGTGCATGTCAGGAGTGTAGGTTTGGGAAAGGCATCGCGACCAATTTGTGCCCTTATGACAGCGTTCTCCTGACTGCGAGGACTCATAATCAAGGAGGAGTCAAGCCCGAGCAACAATAACATAATGTGATGTGTGAGTCAGAGGAGAATCTGCATCTGCTCTGCTCTGTTAGGACTCAGCTGGAGCTCGAGGCGAGCGCCGCCGGTACGAGACGGCGAGATGAGAAATGCTCATCTCTGGCTGCCTGTTTCTCTATTCTGTTCAGTTTATGGCAAACATATACGAGGACCCTTCGACCAAAGAGAAAAACTACGCATGTAAGGGTTATGGGTCCTACTGAATGTGCTACTGGGGTTTGCTTTCCATGAGAGATAATACTATCTACCACAGCTCTAGCTATTAGAATTTGAACTCTTCAATATTTGAACAAAGCTAAACGACTAATGATTTGTTGGCATACAAAAAACATTGTAACATGAGTTTATGGTCTCAATCTCTAGTTTCAAGTCTTCTTCAATACAGCATGATGTTCATTTAGTAAATTATGGTCCATTTATAGTCAAATAAACCATAAAGCAGGGCATGCTTTAGGGCGGGCTTACTGTGATTGACAGGTCACTATCAGAGCCATATACAATGTCTCTGTCACTCCTCCGTATTCCAAATATGGCCAACCGTTCATTGGTTGCAAAAACCCAAGATGACGACGGCCAAAACACGGAACTCAAGGCCTTATCGAGGCCACAACCCAATGGATGACATCACGGTGACTACGTCCACTTCTTTTATACAGTCTATGATAATTACAAACGTCAATATTTTTACTATTTTTGGAGGTTCTGTTTTCACGTCAGGTCTTCATTGAGGGGATTTTTCTTCTTCAAACACTACTGCTCATCTGGTAAGACTGCAACGTCTATCAAAGAAATACTTTCATCCTATTTCAGTTCTTAAAACCAGATCAGGCAACCTTACATATTCTGTACGATCAGTTAACTGTTAACTAAATGTTCCAATGGAAATGGAAAACATGCTCATCGAAGCGAGAGGGAAATAAATGTGCAAATGAAATACACAATCTCTTGTCGACATAAAAAATGTAACTCACCCACTTTAGTTAAGTTAGTTGTAAACTTGTAAATGTTCTGCAGTCGGGGTTGAGTTAGTACTTGAGGAGCGAGGAAGAGAACAAGAGAATGAGAAGAACAAAGTAAAGGAGCAAGGTAAATAAAGAGCTGTCAGCCAAAATCTCAGTCTAAAAAGGACAAGACACAGAGAGGGATGGGGGAGAGGGGGGGATGACTCAGCTAGACAGCAAGTAAAGATGAGAGAGGGACGCATAGAGAGAGAGATAATCCCTGAAGGGCAGAGAGGGAAGACAAACTCATGCCACTGAGGCTACACTCAAGTATGTAAACAGCTAAATGTGATCAAAAAAGCACTACAGGGGAAAGTCGACCAAGACCAACAACTGAACGACTGAATTGACAGACGGCTGGCGACTTCCTGTTTTACGTTTGTTTGTTATATTCAGTTCAATTCAATGTATCCTTATTGCCATGAAAGTAAAAAAAGAAAAGAAAAACAATGTTGCCGAAGCGATTGTTCGATTATAATATACTGTATATTGCCTATAATTATCATGGAGGTCCCCACCTAACACAGCTGAATGAATGGTCTATATATCCGGCAAGGACATTTCCGTATCTCATTTAGTGCATCACCTCTTTTCCTTTGTTGAAAAAGAGGTGATGCACTAAATGAACAAAGTTGTTTTCTCATTTGGATTCAATCTAACAAACAAACTATCAAAAAGAACACAGACCCCTGCAACCCCCGGTTAGTGTCACAGTAAACACAAAGATGGCCAACGTGAACTAGAAGCCGACGCCACACCAGTGTATCATTAGATAGCGCTGCAGTAGTATTTGTTTGGAGCATGTGGCCAGATCGTACACACTGCAGAGTTTAAAGTCGTGTTAAATAGAGCACAACCAATACCACATTTGTTAGGCTCATAGAAGTGAAAAACCTAATATCAGCTGATCTTGTTTTTAATTATTTATTCATTTTACATTTAATTATCACATACAAACTATGGCACATTTTCATTGAGGGGAAAACTGAAATATTGATAAATAAATGTAAATAACTAAATCAAACAATTAATTTGGTTATTAAAGGATGCGGTCTACTTTAAATAACTCTGGCTATCAGTAGCGTCAGAGTTAGTGCTTCGCAGCCAGGGGGTGGTAGAAACGAGCTGACGGCACTTTCACTTGACACGCAGTTCTCTGATTATATGTTACCATGAAGTGGTTGAAGTTAGTCTCAGTGCTGTTTCAACGAGAGGAGAGAAAATACCAAATACGTGGGGACAATATTGTCACGTTCATTGATGTGACGAAAGCTCACTATGAAGTGAATCTGACAGCAGCTTTCAGGAGAGAGTGACAGAGACAGAGAGAAAAGAGACAAAGAGGGATGCCATGAATAGAGAGCTGATGACAGGACGAAACTCACCAACGCAGCAGCAGAGGATGCTGAATAGAGACAGACACACACTCACACACACCGAGCCACTGATGATGTCCTCACATTAGTTTCACTGTGAAACACCACAAACTAATTTGTGTTTTAGAAGTCAAAATAGTTACTAACTAAATTTGTAAATGCTTTATAACAATGTGAGAACAATAACTGGTTACACAAACTCCCCCCCCCTTTCCTTTCCTGAGAAAGATCCGGAACACCAA